GTGCAGTTCGCGTCTCAACGCTAATTAACGTTTATGTACATGAACTGACCGCTTCGAGTGGATACGTACATCTTTTTTACTATGTCCCTTGCGGCCTCTTTTGGCATGTTTCGTGGTACCAATGCCTAGTTGATCATATTCCACAGCCGTGTCTTGGAAATTATCTTTTATATCTTTTACATTAAAAGATAAATATTTTAAGCTGCAATTTTAATTAGACCTCTTCTTTGAATATTAGCCGACGATAGTAATAATTTAAAATTTGTTCTATGTAGCTGTTCGACTTTCAAAAAATATATAACTAGGTATACGCTTCAAATAAAATAATTTTTTGAAAAAGAGACTCTTCACCTAACCAAATAATAAGTCAAGGAACTAATTGTCTTTACTTTATTTTACTTTCGAAACACTCCAACTGGGTTTTGCAAGATCGACTCTCGTTCTTCTCGTGGATCAATTTGTGATCGTGGGCGTGATTAGACCGTGGACTTGATTAAAATTTTTCCCCAACGACGGAGCTTCATAGATCTGGACAAATGAAATTCGCTGATCCAAGGTTTCCGCTATCAAATCCCTCGTTTGTTTACGGAAAAATATTAATGCGAATTAGCATTTGCTTCTACAGTTTCACGACGACCGGATTCCTTGATTAGCGATTCCAATTGTAGATCATACGCGTACCTGCGATTTGCATTGGATACGCTGCGAACCAATCATAAATTTATGAAACTTCCAGCAGCGCGACGCGCACGAATCGCTAAAAGTATTTGCGCGTTACGTTCAGTTAGCCGTGCCGCAGATCTGTCTCTCTCGTCATTCGCATTAACATTTTAATTAACGACGGGCTGGAACCAGTGTTTCTCGATGTTTTTACGCTCGTGGTCTCTTTTTGAATTTGATTTACAATGAATCACGCAATTGATTACGCGATAACATTATTTCGATATCATTTTCTATTGTGGTTTCGCCAACCCGTTACGCCGCGTCGCGCCGATTGGAAAGAATAATTAAACAAAAAATATATTTTTTTTAATATACGCACAATAAACCCCATCAAACAGATTTAACATTAAGTTAATTGTTTAAAAAAAAAATGGTCGAATATAGCTATAATTTTTACGCGCCTAAGATACCTTTAATACAAGCTCACAGTAAGCTTTTCGAATTATACCTTGCCATACACTCATTATCAACTTGAAATATCAAGCTTAATGCCTTGCAAGTCGTCTGCAGAAAAAAAAAATTAGAGAGCCCATAGAGGGTTAAATACTTCAAATTCAAAACTAGCAAAATGGTGATTCAAAGCTTACAGAATGTAAGGAAGACGTCACACTTAAATTTTGTCGAAATCCGTGATATCGAGTGTAAAGAGTTGCGAGATTCCGTGTGGAATGACCGACAGACAGTGTTCGTTGGACTAATTAAACGCCACGACGCTCGTTAGCGTTTGTCATGTTTTAATTACTTCTAGACTCGCGCTATCGAGCATTCGATACGGGAACCCTTGAACTTCGGAACTTTGATAACGATAAACCGTTGGAAATTATTTCTGGAGAAATTACACAGGGTGTCCCAGTTTTTTCGCCAAACTTTGCCAGCGTGTTCTACACGCAAAAGTAAGAAGAAAATATTATACGAACAAATGCTTTTAAATGTTTTATGAAGGAATTGTTTATTAAAATTTTTGTTTCGTGGTATATGGAACAAAAGTGGGCTTATAACATGCAGTTGTGTGTCAAGTATCCAGCATTTGAACGTTCTCCGAATTATTGACAAAAATGTCATCGACACATAACGTTCAGTATACTTGACGAATTAACGTTTTTTGCATGTGTTACGTTTTAACTAATTCAACGCTTTCTAACACGAGCGGAACGTTGATACTTCACCGTACGATTTATCCAAATCTTATAAAATATGTTGAAAACATTTCTTCTGTGTAATGTTATAATGAAAATATTCGTAATGAATATGTGAATCGTTTTACAATTTTAAATAAACGTGATATTCGATATTTTGTACTAACTTTGGAGCTGAATAAGAAATGAATTTGTATTATATGCAGCATGAAATTTATTTTTCTTTTAAATCGTGTGCCACAAGGAGGTAATGCAAGTCACTGTAGATACAGCTTACGATTAAGCTTAAGTTCAGTATGCGGCTAAAGATTCCGAAGCATTGACACGCAATTGAAGTCTTCGGTTAATTTCTAAAGCTCTGAACTGTTATCAGCCGTTGCTTAGGTCCCCGACGATTACTATAAAGTTTACCTGTGCTCGTTAATATTTCATTTCGTAGCAAAATGTCATCAACCTCAGACGCAGACTATTTTCTGCTGGTGCAAGGCAACCGGATCAAGATTAAGCTTGATATATTAGTATTTATACATATATAACAAACTTTAATCTGATAACGTGCAAATATATCTCAAGACGACTCAGCGCATAAACCAACAACGTTATCGCCGTAACATGATAGAACTCTGTGCACATACAATCTTCTGAGCAAAGAAAACCGAGCACTATGTATTTCAGGTTTATTAACGGCCAGTAAGTTTAGATACATTAGAATATTCCTAGATCCCTCGTAGCCTACGATTTACATACATACGGGCTAACTTTAAGGGGGATCACATTAGGAGTCCAAATATTTAGTATTTCTTGGGATATTATTTTTACAGAGAAGAATCTATGTAAAGTTTTATCAACATTGAGAATACCTTACGTACGATTTAAACTACATTTGCTATTTGTTTCAATTCATTTCACACAGATATAGAAATAATTTTAATGGGTTCACAAGTTGACGTTTACGTCTTAATTATTATATTAGGTTGTCCCGAAAGTTTCTTTCGCTTTGTTAATAAGTAATACATCCACAATATTTTATGTTTTATGTTACATTACTGAATTGTGCACGATTCATTTTGCTCCATTACTGTTACAACATGAATATCTATGAAATTGGATTGTTTATTTATATAAACACGACCACGTAAAATAATTAAGTGCAACTCGCGAAAGAAACTTTCGGGACAACCTGATACGTATATTATAAATGTGTCTGATAACCAATAACAATAACTATTAACTAACTAACAACTACATAAAATTTCAGTTGCTGCGGCTACAAACAAACGTGAATCTATTATCTTTAGCTACTTTAGTTTTACAAGCCTACAAAAATTCGCTCAAATCGGAGTAGGCCCTACCTCGTTAGGGAAAATGGAACGCTCTTACTCGCAGTCAGTGTAATTAAGAGGGTATTCTGGATGGTTCTTTTTTAGGCAACTTTTAATAATTAAACGAAAAAAAGTATCGAACGCAAATTATTGGTATTTCGTACGAATGTTTGTCCATATTTTAACTAATTGCAAAAAAAAATGTCAAGTAATTATCTCTAATAATTGAGGCGATAGAGGCTGCCACGAATATCGTGTTTCCAAATTTCTGCTTCTACTAGCGGTATTAATTGGACCCTGTCCAATTATCCGAAGAAACTGGTTCAAGCTTTTCTTTTATTTCCACGATCGTTGGTATCGTTTGAATCAGGTGATAGATACAACAGGTTTATATTTCAAAGTATGGTGGCCATTAAAACTACTTTCATTAAATAATAAAAAATGAATCTGGAGTAACTCTATTTATGTAACTAATATTATTCTTTAAATTAATTACATACCTATTCAACTATTTACTGATAAGCCAGCAATTTATTATACCCCTAGTTTCAATGTAATTAATTAACAATATTGCGTTACTGGTATAACGAAATATAATACAAAAATGATCTGGAGGTCAAATTTTTCGAAATTTTAAGGTCACCGACCTTTTTGTCAATGGAAAGGGGGATTTTCATTATTATAATCTTATATCTGACAAAAAAGAGAAATTCAAACATGTATAATATATCGACCTTTAAACGAGCTTGTGAGAAGTTATTCTTATAAAATCATACTCCAACGTAGTCAGTCATTTAAAAGTCATCTGAAGGTTGACGTATTACACATATTTAAATTTGTCTTTTTTCAGTTACGATACTACAGTAATAAAAATGCCGTATCACGTTTAAAAACACATTGATGACATTGAAATTTCAGAAAACATGGCCTTGAGATACTTTTCGTGCAGATGACAATATTGTCCCTTCGAAACTGAAAAGTTATTATCGTAACAGTTTTCTCGTTTCATATAAAGCAATGAAGATATTTAGTCTAGTCGCCTTAAATGGGACACTCTGTATACCAGCCAATGAGACGACACTTGGACTTTTAACGCAGCGATTGATATTTAACCAGCGTGCATGAGTTAGCATGACACAATTCCAGTTTACACAATAACCCACGAGATAGCTTCGAGTGCAAAAGGTTAATAATGATTCACTTTCCATTGAAATGTGTATGTCTATGCATATATAGGTTAAGGGGATAAAAGCTGAATAAAAGTATGTTTGTTTCTCGTGTAACAATAGAGACAGTCGATGGCATACTTTTCTCGCGCGATTTTTTCCAGTAAGGACAAATCAACTGCACCGTTTTCAGTTCGTTACCTTGCCACGATATGGTCTTGGAAGACCGGCTATGGAAATGACAAGCCCGCGATACAGCCAGGTAACCGTAACCGTATCGATTATAATACACGATAGAGTAGCGTGAATGAGCACGTGCTAAAACGAGAAGAGGAATGGCACGAAGAAAAAGGAGGGGAGCGCGCGTCGCGCAATGACAGTCGCGCTCGAGCCGAGGCCAGTCACGCATGCGTGTTCCCACTTCCAGAGACCGTGTTACGTCAGTGCGCCTGCAAGTCTCTGTAAAATTTCGCGTCGCCGTGTATCACGTCCACGTCGATTCCTCATTATCATCGATTCTCCGCAATTTACCCGAGTGATCGTGCGTCCGATGGACACACAAATCTCGTTGGAAACAGAAAAAGCATGAACCGTGCCACGGAAAAATGGAGCGTGTCCATAACCAATCGTATCGTGTGATTGAGAACACTCACGGTTTATCAGGCTGCGATTTGCGCACCATCATTTCGGCTTTCTGGATCTCCTCGGCCCTGGTGACGCTCTTGGTCCGCCTTAACCTCACCTTCGTCTCGTTTTCGTGATCCGTAGTCATGATGTTGTTCCGCGAGGAGGAACGTTCACCACGCGCACCGTTCACCATACGAAGCACACAAGCGCACACGGACACACTCACATACACACTCTCGCGGTAAAAAAGGAACGCGAACGCGTTACTCCACAAGCCGGTAGGTACACCGTTTCGCGCTCGCGACGACGAAAAAAGAAACTGACCGAACGAGACGAGGACCCCGATCGGAACAAGCTTTTCGCTTTCACTCGCGTCGCGATTGATGGGGGATTCGATGCTTTAGGATGTGGCGTGTGAACGTTGAACGAACGTCTTGTGTGGCCGCGACCTTATCGCTCGGTGTTGGTGTTAGCTTCGCTTGCACGCGACCGTGTTTACCACCGGACAGCCGCAATGATACTACTGGCGTCCCATCGATGACCGTCTTGTACAGCCGTCTCCGTGTTTATCTCCGTGCTTCTTCCAGATAACAACATCGTTGCCTATCCGTGATACATTTTTTTATGAGATACCGTGAACGTGACCGCTCCTCGACCCAGCCAAGGATTGTTTTCGGCGTCAACGTGTTTACATTAAGGATCGTCGATTCCGAATAGATACCTGACCCTTATACTCCTCGTTTACAACGCGCTAGTAGCAATTATTGTTGGCATTTTTATGGGCCATTTATGTGACTATCGGTTATCCAACGGTTAGGATTGTCGCTTTTTTCTTCAACTGGACCAACGATCACACCCAATCTAGACCCCTCGTTACTTTTAATATCTCTTTGGGGCACGGTGGGATTAAAAGTGTCCCATCTTTTCGATGGACCGTAATGCATGGTGGGACATTTTTAATCTCACCTCGAAATTTTGCGATAGCTGCATGTGTATAGTTGGTAATATATTCATCCAATGTTACAAATGTATGCACTTATGTTGGCAACTTTCAACATGCTGATACCGGTTCAACAATTGTTGCAAGCGAAAGGTTTGTTGGGATAATACTTCTTTCCTGAATTTTATGTGAAAAATCGTAGAGGTAAGTTAATTTATATAAAAATTAGTTCTATATAAACAAGTGAAGTGTTTTGTAATAAAAACTAAAGATTAAATTTGTTTGCAAATGATGAAAGTATGGTGGGATTTTATTCGTCCCACCATGCAACTTGGGGAGTAATACAAAAAAAAAAAAACATATTTTTATTTAATGTTTATGTTTTAATATTCTTAAAACTATAAATGTGATTTGAATATAATGTAGGTAATTTTTGACCCTTCAGCTTCAAAATGCAAAGAACAAATCCATAACAATTTTGTTTGATTTAAAACGCAATAAAATTCCTGTGCAACATGGGTCTATTTTATGACCTGAATTACTGTGTCGCAAAAAGTTAAAAGGGGCCAACTGAAGATTTCTTACCGTAGGGCCAACACTTGATCAGGTACAATAAACCAACAGCAAGCAGAGAGTTGGCGCCTTACTATTCCCATTGAAAGAGAATTCTGTCTCAAAATAAATCTATAAAACGGTATAGATGGCCTATTTTTGTTGTAAAACAGTTGAAAAAATTGTTTACCAATTCAATTTTTTGCTACTTTCTATACTGGTTGGTGCATAAACTACATATAGGCTAATATAAAGGATTACACGGTATATGCATTAGTAAGCATCAATAAAAAATAAATTATTATTGTTGGATGACCAACACGCTTAGTCACAACGTAACTGTAGCATAGATTTTTCCATAGCCAAACACCCTAATCTCAGCTCCAAATTTCTATATCTTGTTGTACTTTCCCTACCCATTACTCACCCTTTAGAAATAGATAGATTATAAAGGCTCGCAAAAACCTCAGCAAACCAGAATTCAGTTTTCATTGGAACAGTGCGGATCGTTACTGTACAAAATATAAATTCTTCAAAAATTTCTTTTTACTGTGTGGAACATTTTCCTTGGCTCGGAATCCAACTAATTGAATATTCAACTTGATATTCAACTAACGAAAGAGCAGTGCTACAATCAGAAAAACTGCCAGTTCACAAACGATATAATTGCATTAGTTATATTGTATTTTGTAAGTTTAGTTAACTGTAATAAAATTGTTCGATTGTTTATAAACCTTAATAATAATAAAATGTTAGATTCATTGCCTTCATTAAATTGACAGTTCAACCACGCCTACCTTCATGAATCGGCGGATGATTATATTTTCTTTTAATAACCAAAATGTTTCTATCGATATTTCGTATTGCCAGAACGTTTACGAATACAGATTCCTGATTGGAAACTTATTTTCATCAAAATAGAATATAGTCTATGTTACTAAGGGATATCGTAGTATTCTGTTCTTTAAAAAACTTTAAAAATTGGTTCAGTAGTTTCAGTGATTATTTGCTACATACAAACAATTTTTCCTCATTATAATATTAGTATAGATATAGATTAATGTTAGTATTAGTATTATTTTTTAGATATGCAATGACCCGCACTTCATTACCGACTTAGGGCGCCACTGGTGACTTCCCCCTACGTCCTTCTTAGACCTTACGCAAAGTTTCCTTTTTTATACGTACTTTTTTAGCCGACTTCGAAAAGGAGGAGGTTACTTAATTCGAATTTATATGAATACTGCAGTGAAAAGTATGAAATAATTTTTATTTAAACTGCATTATTACTCACCAGCTCTTCATAAATTTAGTTAAATTATTAAATACAGCATATTAACTAGAAATTATTTCATACTTTTTAGTGCAGTTTTAATGTTTTTCGAAGTCGATTATATTTTTTTCCTAAAATTATTTTACTACGTTTTGTATCCTTAGTGTAGCTTCATAGTAAACTATCTTTACAACGCATTCCGACTTGTTTTCGCCGTTCGATCCATTTCTCTAGTATTATTAATGTTACTACATAATATTAGTATTAGTATATATAAGAACTGTACGCAAAAGTTTGCAAACGGTCATTTGATCGGTCATGGTTGGTTTAGTGTTAAAAGTAGTTTAGGCTGATATAGTTAGACCCCTCACCCTGTATAGTAATTTTGACTTGCGCGATTCGTCAATTGAGTAGCTGAAATCGTGACATGTAAATGACACAGATTGACATTAGTTGGCAAGTTAAAGGGGGTGGATTTCCTGTGCGTTTCCCGACGAGCTGTACGGGGTTTCCGTACTAAGTGCAGCTACTGTAATTAGCTTTTCTTCGCGTGTGTCTCGTCTTTCTTCAGGGCATGGATCTTGGGGCTCGACCAACGTGATTCAAAGAGTCACGTAATTGACACGCGAAATTGTCTCGCGTGTTTGCGCTCGGGTTTATTTACTTCTGAACTTTCGAGCGTTCGTCGGAGTTTCCGGTTTCTACGCCACGAGTTCCACGACGAACTGAACCCGAAGTTCCCCCACTCGGTAAACTCGAAAAGCAAATCTTCGACATCCGAAGACTTGATGGATATTTTGACAAGATAATTACTGCGTTAACCCTTTAACCTACGATTTACGTTCGAGAATTTTGAGCAAAAAACGTAAATAAGCTCGCCCAGCCTTCGAGCCATTCGCTTTTCGCCCGATCATCGTACTACGGGCTATGGATTTTGTTTGCACATTATGAAAGCTGACGGTGAAACGAATCCATCGACCATTCACACATTCATGGTCATTCAAGTTTAAATCTATCCATGCATTAGTTAAATATCTATAAATAAAAGATAAATATGATCAAGTAATTAGTGTTATTTCTGAGTAGTGTGACAATTGCCGAACCTCCCTTGTAAGCGCTCGCATGGGGATGGGTGTGTCGAATTGTCGATCCATTCACAGCAAATATAGCCGTTTAAAAATGATGTGAAACAGCTTTCCCGCGCGACGAAAGCTCGCGTTGGTCCTCCGGCACGTACAAACGGAACGCGACAAAGTCTATATTCATTCTCGGTTTCACGTCGTTTCCTAACGTTCACCTCCGTGCACAGCTGTACGTTCTAGATTCCATGTGGTCGTTGTAGGCAGCAAAATGCAGAAGGAAGAAAGCCCTACTAGCCGTTTACGTATACTCCCTTTATGGCTAACCACGGATGTTACCGAGCACGCCGGCAAGTACGTTACTCTATATACATATGTACTTACACGTCGTGAGATCTGCTCAGGCAAGTGCCGACTCCTCCAACTCCGAGTTTCCAGGATTCAGAGCTGCACTTATGCTCGCAGGACCCCTTTACTGGCCGTCTCTCGTGCCAACCGTGAGGTCTAATACTCCGCGACCCGATGTTTTAAATTTCTTCCACGCAACAGTCATAAGAAAAGTCGGCGGGACTCTTCAAATTACACTCGGCGTCAGGTCTCAGAAAGCTCGTGAAACTGATTATGTAAGAAAATAAAACTGTTATTTGTAAATATAATGCAACGGACTTCTTTTGTTAACACTACAACTAGCGACGACCAACTATTCAAGGTATTAGGATATATTTGAAATTAAACAGGGGGAGGACTAAAGGAATGTATGAATATAACTAGTCTTCTATTTTAAACATTGTCATTAAAAATTGCAGCAAAGTTATTGATAATAACTGAGTCGTTTTAAAAGGAAATTGAATACTATATGACAAAATAATTCAATATATGGAAAAACTCGTAAATATTAATACGAAGTGAAAATAAGCATCGCATTACCAATATCATATGGTCTGAAACGTGAACTAATATCATATAAACTGCAAGATTATACATATCTGTTTGAACTGCAGGAATCAATCCCATCGATTAAACCTATGGTAATATAACTAGTAATTTGTTAGTCAAATACTAATATCTATATCCTCCTAAATATTTAGTTTTGTACTACATTATTTGCAATGTATAGTAAATATCAGTCACTTATCAGTGTGATAGTTTTGTATTTAATTTGACGTGAGACTTCAAAATAATTTTATACATTCGGTCAGTGGAATTTTTAATGAATTTAAATGAGAAAAAAACAATTTAAATTCTAACGAATCGAAATAAACGTAACAAAAATTTGGTCTATTTACCCCAAACGCAATAGTTGTCCGTTTTTTAGGAAGACGTCTTCCAAGAAGTTTGGAAACTACTAGTCCTCGGAGTGCCTCGGTGAAATTTCCGACCGAAAGTCAAAGAAGGCATGAGAGTTGAAAAAGAAGGTCTGTTGCGGCAAAGAGTGAAGATCGAAAACTTTAAAGCTGCTTTTCTTAAAACCATACTTTCCAAGCTTACGGAAATGATATCTCAAAAACTAATGAGACTACCGACTGAAAATTTTAATACCTCGAAGGAAGTATATTCATCTAAAGAAAGAAGAAAGTATAATAAAATCGTTTATCAATGATATTACGATTCTTTGATGTTTCGTACAAAATTCAAAATAAACCCTTTGGGCTTTCGAAATGAGACTTTAATAATTTATATCATTCATTTCAGATATTCAAAAAATTGGTGTTAAATTAGAAAGTTGACATTAAAAACAAGCTTATAACTATAAATATGTTCATTTAAATGTCGCAATTACGACAATTTCGTATCTCCCATACGAAACGTGCGACAAAGATTTCATAGCAAGACGGATGAAAACGAACAAAATTAGCGTTCGGAATATTTGTTTAATTAGCTTGTCCCGAAACAGATTTCCTGGAGTAATTCATTTACACGTAATCCGAGGACTAGCAGATTCCATCTGTAATTGCTTCGCGGCGAAGAGTGGGAGCCATGCACGCCAAGTTTGTTTTAATATTAATTTCTTATCGTTGATCTTGCTCGGCGACGGTATTCCCCAAGTATCGCGGGTCTCCATGTCGTGCAAACATACTCTGTGAACTAGTTTGTTGAATATCTGGCGATCTCTACGAAGCAGGAAGGTGTAAGTACCGTGTTAGTCTTTGGGGTTACGTCGCTGCTCGCAGAGCTAACTAATAGCCTCTTAGCCTCGGCTTAGAGAGGATCATGCTACAGGCAGCCGCACCCTCCTTTGCTCTAAGACTCGATCCATACACCCGCAGCCCTTAGTGCGATCCTTAAGCCTGCAAACAACCGATCTCCTCTAACACGGACAAAGGATTAACAATGATGATTGATTGCTCTCAAGTTACAATTCTTCGAACGAGCGTTGACTAATTCGTGTCGGATTACCAGCGTCAGATTTCTCGGATTTGTTCGATACAAATTAAACCTTTGCACTCGAGAAGAAACTCTCACAATCAGTCGTTACTGGACTTTATGAGGCGACTCGAGTTGCGACTGGACGGCAGAGATGGAAAAGCTTCCAAAAATAACTATTTTAAACCGTTATATAAAGATCCTGTCTGAAAATGGTATGAGAATGTCACCCACATATGGATGACAAGGTTTTTCACTGAGGAATAAATAAATTAATTCTGAAAGTGAGGTGTCCTAAAAAAGTTAATTTGGATAGGATTCTAAAAAGGTCGCAAAAATAAGTACTGCTACTTTTCTTATTTAGTTATACGTGCAAATTCAATTTAATTAGCAAAAATTCTTTCCTCTAATATACTCTATTTTTCTATTTTGTTTGGAGAACTTTTATTTTGCTCGGCGATAAATACAATGATGTTATTTGCCTTCAAACTTTTCTTGTTTAGTTATACGAGAAAATTCGATTCGAATTAGCTAAAGTTCTTCGCCCTAATGTACTGTACATTTCCTATCTTGTTCGCCTAGATAAACGTTGCATATTGCATGTATGTGTGCAACCCTTAGAGGATGAAATGTTATTATGAATCGAATTGCTGTCGAAGGACATCATGTATTATGCACAACTCACCCAGAAGTCCGTGGCAAGCGTCTAATCTTGCCCTTTGACCATTCTCCCGGCGGCATTTAACTCATATATCTTCCTCCTCCCGTTCTGCATGAGGAAATCTCTGTAAGACCGATTAGTAGTCAGAGCACGTCCGTTATTAGCCAGTCGGCCGGACTTGGTCTAAAACTAGCAAAATCAAACTTGCGCCATGCAAACGATCCTCCCAACTGATTCATAACCCGATCCAAGATCCCCTGGAAAACATTTCCTCATCAATTCATACATTATATGTAAGAAGAGGCGATGGAAGACTTAAAGATTATCATTTATTTAAAAAGACAAACTGTACATTTTTCAGTCTTCCCTTAGTCACACATTCCAAGAGACCACATACTGCTGCGAAGTCTCGAAGTAGTCTGTTTGATTCGCTATTATGAAATTTGGTACTTTAATAGATATGTACAAGATTTTCCAAAATTTTCAACTGTCCTGCTCGACTTGTTTACAACTTACGTATAATATCCTACGTTACGTCAAGCGGAACCGGCTTGAATTTCGAAGCTTTCTAGAGCTCCTTTCCCATCCCGTTGAGAACTAAATTTGTTTAAATATTCATGTTGAAAAATTGAAGTTTAACCACGAATTCCCGCCTTCCAAATCACAGTAGTATTTACGTGAAACACAGTCCTCTAATACTTGGAAAAATCTTGTCATTATAACGGATTAAGTTATCAGAGATTTGAATCAACCCCGGAGTCTCATTTTCATTCTCGCAAACAAATATGAGATTTCCATCCCGTGGGACGTTCGTTTGTTTTTATATGGTACAAACGAACCT